CGGCTATTGGAACTTTGAAAATGGGTGGTTAAGTAGCTCTAGGGAAATCCATCATAACTTTGAATGGTTGCTAAGTGACTGTCATTAAGCAAGAACTACCTGTACTTCGGACACATTATAGAAAGATCCAGCTTACTAGGAAAGGTGAAGGAAAGAGAAGAAGAGGAGTAGCACGACTGATGGACTCAAATTATGGTGATGATGAATCTACCATTGGGAGACCTGAAGGAATAAAAGATAATCATCATGGAGAAAATATATGTGATTGCTAGGAGTTGAAAATACTTGATGACATATAATCACTCAATAAGAGAAGATGGCAAAAACAGTAGTATAATAAATCAAAGGCATTTTTTTTCATCTCATTTCTCCCCTACAAGAAGTCATGTGCTCTATCAGGCAACTCTGAAGAGGAGGGAGGGGTAAAATTGATGCCTGAGATAGATATCTACATGGTTGGGGTGGGGAAGTACCAATGACATTTCCAGGACTTGATGATCCCCATTCTAGATTACTGAAGAAATTTGTTGAGGGTTTGGCTAAACTTGTATGTACAATTTGTTTAGAAATTCTAAAAAAAACCCTGCTGAGGTGCCAGATGACTGCAGTAAAGAAAATGTTCTATCTATCATCAAAATGAATTAAAGGACCCCAAAACCAGACCAATAAGTAGAACAGTGAAAATCAGTTTGGTTTAGTGGTTAAGGTATCATGCTAGAAACTGGAAGGCCATAAGTTATATTCCTGCCTTGGGCCCAAAGGCAACTGAGTGATCTTGGGTCAATCACTCTCTCAATCCTAGGATATAGGCAATGGTAGACCTCTTCTGAAAACTTGTCAAGAAAACTGCAGGAACTTGTCCAGGCAGTGGTCAGGAGTCAACACTGACTCAAAAGAATGTGCAAGCACACATACACTAAGTATGCCCAGGAAGATTGTACACTTTCTAAATGAAGGAAACATTTGTAAAATTAATTGACGTTTCAAAACTAGGATCTAGCTTAAATTGGATGAAATTTCACAGAGGCAGGGTTTTTTTTTACTCAAAAAGATCTTCAAAGACTAATTGATTACAAACTGAATGCAAGTTAGTAATGTGATATGAATGCAAAAAAGTGAGAGGGGATATAATTTTAAGCTATGACAAGAAAAAATTAATTGACAAATTATAAAAAATAGTGGTTTTATTTTATTTTGTATAGGTGAGACCCAAATATCGTTTCAGTTCTGAATGCTGTTCTTTGAGAAAGGGTCCAACAAACCAGAAGAAAGTTGTATAAAGAAATATACACAATCCCCCATCCCCAAATTTATGTTTTCAGATGACTGAGTAGAGAAAATATCAAAAGGATGCCAAGACCTAGACTCTACTCCAGAATATTTAATAGATTTAAGTTATAGAAAGATAAACTGCTACTGAATGTTTAAAAAAGTGGTTGTAACAAGAGTTTAAAGTAGAAGTTGTAAAATGTCTATTAAGGATTATGAAGACATTGTAGCTCTAATCTAATCAGACAGAAGATATAAAATTATTTATCATGAATACTTTACTGGATCCCTGCTCTAAGCAGGGTATGAGCATCTATGGGCAGAGGGGGGCTTGTATAGTACATACATACCTGGAGCAATCACTCAGTGAACCAAATGACCATGTTCTACTGTTTCTATTATCCTAATAATAACTACTGTTACACACTTTTATAAACCCACTATAAATCAAGATCTCAAACCTTAGAACACTCTCATATGTAAGCTGCTCATTCTTACCCACCCACCCCCAAGCTTTTTATATTTTCTTGCCTTGACTAAAGTTTTGTGGCTTGTATTTATCTTTTCAGTCTAAATTCTTTAAGGCTGAAAACGGGGTTCACTGTTCATAAAGTGCCAAATATATAAGTACCACACTAAATACACATTAATGGTTGGTTAAAGATTGTGTTATTGTTACGTAATCACTCTTGAATAAATCTTTTGGCCAACAATTATACAACTGATTAACCAACTTTTTAAATTCAGTATTTGTAATTTCTAATCCTCAAAAGATTTGTTAAGATTACATGTGTATAGATCCATATTTGTCCCAATCAAGCTACAAACAATTGAAACAAGGCAGTTAAGAAAGATTAATAATTAATACATTGAAATATATGTATTTAAGTTTTCTTTCCTGAAGTAGTCAAGACAATGAAGCAAACAGAAGGTATTAAGTTTCATAAATTGATCATAATTTGTAATAATGCTACATCAAAGTGAGATTTTCAGTTTAAGCCACTTTAAATGTGTTCACTCTGAATATATATTCACATTGCTAGTATGCTGGCACTAGAATGTCTTCATTATAAATAAAGAACTAATCAAAATAATTGTTTGGGATACTGAATCCCACAATATTTTTTGTATCCTAACATGCCAATCCTTTTCATATACATCATGTACATGAATAACAGCAACTTGCTCTTCTTGCATAGACTGACTCTTCCCATGCATTAAAGGGTAGTTAATAAATTATTTCTACAATTCTTGTGATTCTAAATAATATTGCACATTAAAATAGTTGAGTAAAATTAAAGTTGCCTCAAGTTACATAAACTTTTTAATAGATTCTGCAAGTTTCCTGTCAGTCCTGGATCAGTATTGATTTCTACCTTTTAATAACCACTTTCAACCCTGCGCTATACTCTTCAGAATTCATTTTTTAAAAAGCTGAAGCCCTGTTCAGGCATTACCAAAATAAATAAATGTGTTAATGTTGCTCTAGTGAAATTGGCTTCCTTGCAGGCATTTAGGTGAAATACAAATGTCTGCAGAAGAGATGTTATTTTAACTCCCATATAAGATTCTGGCTAACAAGGAAATCAACACTTAATCTGTTATGCACATAGGCTTCCTTCCTACAGAAAGCCTATACATTACATTAAAGACATTAAAGACAGGGATTATCAAGCATGATCACATGTTAAATTCTCTATTACAGTAATATTTGAACCAAAACTATTCAGCTTTTTTCTACCATTTCTAGAAGAGGAGGTATAAAAGATATAAAAATGGGCAAAAGGTGCTCTTTTGCCCATTTTCTAAAAAAAAAAAAAAAAAAGCCTATTCCTATTTTAAGTGTTCTCAGGCAATGAATGAACTATCCTAACATTATCAGGCAACATGGTGTCTGGAAAAGGAAGCGTTTTGGTTTTTAATTGTCCAAATGAGCAGCTCTGTTAGTCCATAAAAAGCCATTCAGACATAAATACTTTAGATCTTGCTACATTTGGGCAATAGTATGTACCAAAAAGCAAATGCAGAGCAAAGACAGAAGTTTGTTGTTATTTTAATAGCAGTTTTCCACCCAAAATTCTAAACTTAGTTCTTTACAATAGGTCTAGATTCTGAGACTACCATAAATTTTCCATTACTCTGGCTGATTGGGAGTTAGGTAGAATGGCATTTTGTTTCAAAGCACCTGTGCATAGTTCACCATGCTGCAGATCACAGCTAAAAAAATATCTTTAAGCTTGTCATAACCTGAAATTTCTTATCTATACCCAAAAAACAAACTGCTATAATTAAACAATTAAATGGATATGTTTAAACTATTATTAAAGCTTAAAATGACAAACACCAATAATCTTAATTCTTAATTTCCAGCAATATAGTAGCTTCCATAAGCTTAATTAGGAGACAGACAGAACATAGAGACTGCTAAGATAAAAAAAAGAATGCACTCTAACAATCTATCCCTGATCAGAGATCCTATGAAATGATAGAAAAGATGTCTGGAATGCTTGTGATGAAAAACAATGTCTCCAACTTCACCATATTAGATAGCTTCAGCCTTCAATCTTCCATTTTTATGGAACATCATGGAGAAGATTATGGGAATCCAGGGCAAAAAATCATGGGTGAAATTAATTAGCTGGGTCATTTTCAGATAGGATTTAAATCCAGGCATCCAGAAACAGCAATAGGCTGCTCTTGTGCGATGGACAGCGAGAGTGTAGCTGTCCTTATTCTATTAGACCCTAGCTGGTTTGACACTGATCATGACAGTGTCTTGGACCACCTCTGACTGGTTGAAGGCACTGTATTACAAGGGTTCATCTCATTCCTGATGTTGATAGCTTTAGAGCAGAGTGACTGTCCAGCAAACATAATTGCAGAGACCCAGGTCTACAACTATGGGGTTTCTCTTCGATTCATAGTTATAGTTGGATCCATAGATGAAGACACAGCCCTGAATGTCTTTACCAAGACCAGCTATGGTTCATTTCTGGAGTACGAAGCTCTGAGAACAGTCATCTTTGTCTTCATTATCTCCAGATAAGATTAATGCAATGAGTTTCACATGGGGTTGCCCTTGAAGTTTCTGCTCATGTTTTAAAAAGAATATAACTTTCTTACACAGCCTATTATTATGAATAAATGCATCAATTCAGGTTATTTGTGTTTGATGGGTAAGTCAGATTCAACTCAGTGTCACATTTTGCTGCAACAGCAAGACTATTTGACTTAATATCTTTAAAAAATATGTAGGCCCACCACAAATAATTGTTACTACAATTAAATGATATTAAACTGATCAACAAGATATTCCCTGGTCTCCCCTCCCAACACCCCCTTGCAATATAAAACAGTGTTTCTTTTGTATTTAGTGGCTATCCACACTGTTAAATTTTCCAGAAAATAATGCCTTATGTTTATTTTGTAGTTTTAAGCATTATGGGATGCAATTAGCAAGTTCCATTCATTTATGGATGGATCATCTTTGCACTTTCTCAGCAATGTAGCATTACCAGATTAAAAAGAAAAGAGAATAAATAAGAGCGTCACAGGCATCAAGATATTATTCTAGCCCCTACAGACACTAATTTGGAAACTCTAGCACTAATGATTTCATATAAACTATTTCAGAAAATATTTTATAACCAGGATCTGAATTCTGACAAAACTTAATTCACCATATATCATAAAGTCTGAATAAGAACATTAGTCTTAAATAGATACCATACCTAGCTTGCATCCAACCTTTTGGCCAAAGAGGCTTCACCTCTGTCTCCATAAATGTCTTGAGGTAATCTTCTGCAGATTGACTTTTATTTGGCTCTAGTTCATAGCAATCCAGCTTTATCTTGACAAGATTACACAGCAAAGTCCTGTTGAAATAAACCTGGCTGTCTTCAGTACATCAAGCATCACTTGTCAAAGTTACTTATTTACCTTTCATATTTTCTCTAAAAATAGAATTATTCAACAATAACTTTTAATTAACCATATTACACTGTAAGATATAATACAACTGGTTTTCAGTTTCTTGTACTCTGTTTTATCTTTTCTATAATTTAAAACAGGCATTTCCATTTTTTTGGGACATTTCTTACCCAAGAACATTGCAATCAATAGATACTAATTTCCCACAATTGAGAATTTGTTAAGTGAAATTGTATAAAAGTTACTTAAATACAGAAATGGGTTTAAGAAATGAAGATAAACAAATCTGCACTGAAGAAATATTTTTTGTACATTTAATCACACTTGGCCAAATAAAGTATTGTATTCAATTCAGTTCAATTCAAATAGAGTTGAGGAGAAAAGGTGAAAATGAGTTTCTTCCTTTTTCATACTCATAAAGCTGGTGGAGAATGAAAGCAAATATCACTACAAATTTTAGATTTTTAGCCTATAGAGCAAAATTATTTCCATTTCTTTTTACACTCTTTTTAACTTCTTTTTTGATAATCACTCACATGGGAGCTAAGACAAATTAAATACTGAGGACAGACCTTTACATAACCCAAATAGCAAAAGATTCTGGGACAAGAATGTCAATATAGTCAAGTTTGCAAAGCCTTATGCAGTGAAAAGTATCAGAAAATACAGAGTGAATATTAGATAGCACTTAGGAAGAAGTAAATTAGCAAGAAAGATGAGCTCCACATTATCCAAGATTAAAAGTCTTATTTGTGTTATATGTCCATCCAGTTTATTTCCACTCCAGAACCGCATGCATTAGCTATGGTAGAGTTACATTTATGACTATGCTCCATCTCAGGAAAAAAAGTCCAAGTTATTTTTTTTTCTGATCTGAAATAACTTTTATTAGGCTGTGCTATGGTAATTTATAATACCTCTAGTGGAGTATCAAACAATATAGTATCATACCTCACTGTCTCATCCCAGTAGAACTTTTTTCTTGGACCTGCAATCCTCTTTCCTGGTTTCTCGTCATCTTCCTCTTCTGAACCATTCTTGTCTCGCTCATCTTCTGCTTGTATTCTGGAGCAAAAGAATAAGCACAGTATTGTAAAGAGTAGAAACAGAGGTATGCTTACTTCCCCATAATTACATTGCCAGAGAGACTCAGATATCTGCTGGTTGCTTATTTGCAATTGTCTGGTCTCTATGTATCTCTACGTGAAGGTCCAATTAAACTGATGTATGTATGTATGTATGTATGTATGTATGTATGTATGTATGTATGTATAATCATGTCTATGAACAGAAATCTATTCAACGAAGGTTAACATATCCTTAGTGTGAAATAAGGGCCAATGGAATTCAAGGGTGGTTGGATTTAGTTGTGACCACATACGGAGTATAGACTGATATCTCTTTTAACTCCATTCCCAGGTTCTGCCACTTCTTTTCCTATCGCAGTTGATGCATTGGTATTCTAGATAGTTGATATTTGCAGTCCATCACCTTAAAAGTTACTGAATATCTACACATATTTTGGACACTGAAATGAGCCAATTTCCATTTAGTTCATTGCAAGAATTATGAAAAAACTACCAATATGTAAGATCTTCATGAGACAGAGTCAGTTGTATGACTGCACTGAAAATAACTTAAGAATTCAGCTATGGGAAAGCAATTAGGTCCTGTCTCACAGTTACAAAACTATTTAATAAGTGATACAAGATTTGTCAGACATTCATCTACCTATTCATAAAAAAGAAAAATAATTACTACTTATCAGCTAGTATATATGTCAATACAGATCAGGAATCTGGTATCACCTTTTCCAATTAAAATAGCTGTTAATCAAATTTCTTAATCAGGAAATACACTATCAGACTCCTGATATGTTACAATCACAGATTAATAAGAGTTTACTCCTACAATGACAAGAACATAAATGAAACTTGAAAACTTAAAAATGGAGGGCAATGGTCCTTGAAGAATTTCAAGTGGATTATTTGCTAGCACTAATGTATATCCAGTAACTAGCTGTAGGACTAAAGAAAATGGTGGTCACTAATAGCTGCTCTTTCTTACATGCGAGTTGTAACATCACTGTTTGCTGAACTTCAGGCTACAGCTTTTCTACCAGAAATTAAACAACTGTCATCCCCACTTATGCTAAAGATTTTCAATTACAACTCCAGTACTAACTGAACAAGCAGGGTATGTTGGGGAAAAAGCAAAATGATAAAGCTAAAATCTAAAAAATAGATACTTAAGATAAATAGAACCTGTCATGAGCAATAGGAACAGCTTCTGGAATTGCTTTTGCTAAGATAGCAGACAAAAAAAAGGCCAAGTGAATACATGGACAGATATTCACTATCTTTTTAAGGCAAGAAACTTATCCATCTCATAAATGCTCCACTATATTCACAGAATTAATGTACTGCAAAAAGCAGAATCTATATATAATATAAGCAGAAAAATAGCAATCATAAACATTAATTTCCTCACATTTGGAACTTCATATTTTCTAATAAAATAGGACAGTTGCCCTTTCATTTTCCCTCTTCCCCCCATTGGCCAAAAGCTGTTTGATTTGCGTACATACTTGGCATTCTTGGCTTGACTGTGTGCCTGGCAATCTTCCTGGTATTTGAATAGTTGTTCAGGCATGACACAGCTGATAGCCAACTTCAATTTTTGCAATGGTTCCTTCAAGCGATCATCCTGAGAAGATACTACCATTAAAACAGTGATACAAACAATGTAATACATTCACATACTGCATCTCTGAAGCTGTCTAGTCCTTTCTTTTTGAACAACTTTCAATGTTTTTCATTTTCTGAATTAACTTGGCTCTAAAACAATTGGTATTTTTAAAACTCTCACATTATAAAGAATAAAGTTGTATATATTTCCAACAATAAAAAACATTATTACTTGTTAAGAAGAGAAAGGAACATAAAAGTTTGCAGTAGAAAAAGGAGGTAAGCAAAACAAATTAAATTAAACTTAAGTGATGTAAGATGTTGTGCCTACATTGCTGTTCATTTATTTGAAATATGTATAGTTCAGTCACTTACAAAGGGTCACAATCTATAAAACAAAATAAAAAATGAAAAAGTGAAATAATAATTTAAAACACTCTAGTGATACAAATAACGAGCAAATTAATTTGGCCAGTATGGCCCTGTATTCAGTATAAAAGAGTTGTTTTTCATTATTTATCTTCCATAGCCAAGATGGGATTAACTGTATTGTAAAAATCAGAATCCAAGAATGGACACAGAAATTTGAAAAATTTAAAAATGCAGAGTGGCACCTAGAATTCATCTGATATATTTTGCTTTCCAGAATTGTCTTGGTTTCCTCCAACTTTTTTGGGATTTGGAGTATGAAATATAAAGACATTTCCACCTGGAAAAAGCTTTATCCATTCATCAAACAGACCTCTGCTAATTAAGAAGCAGTGCCACTTGGCTCCCAATTTGTTATAGTGAGAGAGAAAGGCTCTAGTAAAAAAAAAAAATATGAAGTTTGTTTTTAGGCATGCACAGCCAGGGAAGCGGAAAATAATCCAGTGGCCAGATTCTGCTTGTGATCTTGAAGTCCTAAACAAAAATGGCATTGTCTGTCTGTCTGTCTGTCTGTCGTCTATCTATCTATCTGTCTGTCTGTCCGTCCGTCCATCCACCTAGCTATCTACCCACCTGCAATGTTCCTACTGCTTCTGGGTCTTTTTAAGGTAAAAAGGACATTATATCTTTCCCCCTATCCCTTGAAATAGACAAAGTAATTTTGAAATTGATGGGGAAAAAAATTCCAGACCATCAGATAAGTTAAATGAAATAAAAAAGATTTAATAGCACTTTAAAAAACGTGTTCCTGAATTAAAATGTACATTCTTAAATCTAGCATAAAAATCCAAAAAGTATCATAGAGATGTCTAATTATGATAGCACTACATTAAGATTGGATTTTAATTTATTTACAACTGTGTCATCTTTTTTAAAAGTCAACATTTTTAAAAGTACCACAACAACAACAGTTCTCAAATACTTTTTCAATTAATAGTTAAAAATCAGAAATAGTTAAAAAAAGCTACTTCTGGAAAGTGTCTGAAAGACTGCAATTTCTAATTAATGGGGATTCACATTTCTAATTAATGTGAGAGAGCCTGGAACTAGAAATTTAACTCACAAATTAATGCAAAAATAAAAATAGTTCAAAATAGAGCAATAATCATCAAAGCAATTACATGATCTAGATTACAGCATACCAGGAAAATATTTAAAAAAGAATGGGATACAAATCTTTTATAATTACACACACACACACACACACACACACACACACACACACGCGCGCGCGCACACACAATGCCAGGGCCCCTCAAATAGATTTGCCTTCAATTCCCTTATTTCTTCCTTTCCTGCTTTTGCCTACGTATTCATTTTCGGGGCCTGCCAGTCTGTTGGGGGAGGGATGCTTGCATGGGGGAAATAGTTGCTTTGCTATGTTCTGTGTGAGGTGCCCTCCCTCAGGGTATGAGGAATGCGACCTGAAAACATCTCTTATCTCCAGACAACTGAGCCTGGGACCTTTGGGAAATGAAATCCAGAGAGTCCTTGAAAAAGGCACTAAATCCCCTGGTTCTCATAACAGCTTGGCACCTGTGGATTGGTTGGATTTCAACCAGACAACTGGACATTGGGGGAAGGGGGTTTGAATTTCCATTTTGACGTATTCTTTCACGTGCTAAATCTTCAGACCTTGTTTTACTATCCTGCCATCACTAACTCTCAATAAAAAGTTCCTTTTGAAATGATGCCTGCTTCAAGAGTTCCACTTTCTTGGGAGGTCTAGATGAGGCAGATCCTTACATGAAGCAAGGTCTGCAATAGTACCCAACCCAAAGAGGTGTCTGCCCTATTGAGGGGGATTGTGCAAAATATGTCTCTGCATGTCAGCGTAACAGGAGAAGCTGGAAACGAGGACTGCAGTGAACGGCTCATCCAGATATATCCCAGAGAAGGCACCTCCACTTGGGTGGAGGAAGCTGCTGCCCTAGAAGACTCCTCGAGGCTGAGATGGTTGCTCGGTGTCAAGAAAAAGGAGGACTGGGAGGAAAGAGCCCAAACAGTTACTTTCACCCGAGGAGGTCAGAAGAAGACCGGAAAGAAAAAGAAAGAGCTGCTTTCTGATGATGAAGAGCCAGATAAGCAATCAGATTTGACGGAGGGGATCCTGAAGCGAGCCATTGTGGAAAAAACTGGAAGTAGTGAGGACATTTAAAAATAAAAATAAAATATATTTTAGTATTATCATGTAATCATTGATTAGTTATTTTATAATCATTATTTTATAATGATTATATATATTGGAAAATTACAAGTCCCAAATGAGGGGAGAGGGAAACTGGAGTTACTAAGGGGTCTGGTATGATCATCTAGGAATTGTTTTTCTGTACCTTTTGGTGCCTGGTACCACTATTTGGTCTGAAAGGTGGAAGATTGATAGGCGTGTGGACACATCTTATTCCAAGATTGATAGGCATGTCGACACATCTTATTTCCAAGATTGATAGGGATGTGGACACATCTTATTTCCAAGATTGATAAGCATGTACATATATGGTCTGAGTAAACAGGATAGTAGGGGATGGATCTTATTAGTATAATGTAAGCAAACAGGGGCGGAGATAATGTATTCTGTTTAGGCGCTTCTGATAGATTGTAACCTCCAAAGCCTAAGCCAATGGGACCATGGGGGAGGGAATGGGGCATTGCAATAGGATGTATAATAATATGTGATTTTGGAATTTGGGGTGTGGTTCAGTGTTAGGCTACATTGCATTGTCTGCCTTCCTGAATCCACCATGCTTTGCAAACCGTTACCTTTTAGACTTTATTGTTAAGGTTAATAAACTCCTTTTCTATTTGCAACGTGAACTGAGTGAATTTCAGTTTGTGACTACTTTTGTGTCCAACAGCATGACTTACATGGTAGAAGCTTTTGAGGACCTAAAAGCCAAATCCCTGGGCTGCCCAGAAAAAGAGGAAGAACTGGCAGAGGAGGTTGAGCATGGAGGAGACGAGGCTGCAACAGCTGAGGCGGTCAGTGGAGCCACAGGTTCGACCGAGATGGCGGTAGCCACTCCAGCGGCACAGCAGCGAGCAGCCCCCCTGGAGAGCTCGAACCCCACAACAGTCCAGAGAGAGGACTTCTCCAGATGAGCTGAAGCTAGTTCCATTGGGAATCAAGTTCGACAGGGATCCACAGCAATTGGGGTTCTCCCTGGTTCACATCCTCACATACATGCAAGTATATGGGAGGTCTTTGCCCAACGTTGCAGCAAAGATCAGGGTTGTCACCCTAGCCCTGGAAGGAACTGCAGCCAGATGGATGGTAACCCTGTATAATTGTGATGCTCCCCAACTTCAAAACTTCAACTGGTTCACGACCGCACTGAGGTGCCGTTTTGAAGACCGCCTAGCAGACCAAAAGGCTTGGGACTGTATAAAAACAGTGAAACAGGGACATCGACCATTGGCTGACTATATGGAGGAGTTCCGTGACCTGAACTACCGCCTCAACTGGCCCGAAAACATTCTAATAAGCTGTTTCCAAGATGGATTAAACAACGACCTGTACAACACGTGTGGCCTGCAGAGCACCTGCCTGACTGTACAAATAGTGTGTCCTGGCTGAAGAAGTGGAAATCAACCAGACCCGCAACCATCCCATGAAGCCGGGGAAATACATCCAGCCTGAGAGAAGGGGAGAGGCCAGCAAAACTCTTGCTAACCAGCTGCGATCCACCTCCTGTTTCAAGTGCGGCAAGGAAGGGCATCGGGCTGTGGAATGCTGCAGCAAGATTCCAGCTAGGAAGCTGGATTGCCCCTCTGGGGGAAGGTCAAGCAAGCCGACTCAACGCCTGAAAGAAACAGCCCTGAAGTCGACCAAGGTTGTGGAGCTCCCCCAAACCCCAAAGACAGGAAGTAGAGTTCCAACCCTACCGGATGACGAGTCAGAGACATCAGAGAGCGATTATGATGGCCCATTGGTAAGTGGGCCAATCGACCCCATAACTATGCCCATAGAACTGTCAATCCCAAGCACAGGCAGGAGGATGGCCATAACTGCACTGCTGGACTCGGGATGCACTCGGTGCCTCATAAGCCCCAGCCTAGTCAGGAAAATGGGAACTCCCCTTAGAAAACTCAAAGACCCCATCGCATTCTGCCAACTTGATGGGTCATTAGCAGGGGGCATCCCGGCAAGCTTTGTCATTGAATCCCTGAGGCTAACCATGGGAAGCCACTCAGAGACTTTGGTGTTTATCATGGCTCGCAGCATGGAATGGATCCTTGGGCTATTGAAGGACATTGAAAGCTATGTGGTCAGCTGCTCTACCTATGCTGCTGCTAAACAGAGGTAGGAAAAATGCCTGGCCTCCTGCATCCGGTGGCTAGCCCTTCAGCACCCTGGAGAGAGATCTCCATGGATTTCATTGTGGACTTACCCAAAAGTGCAGAAAATACTGTCATTTGGGTTGTCACTAACTTGTTCTCCAAATAAGCCCATTTTATCCCATGTCAAAAGATCCTAAATGTAAAAACTTTGGCTAAGTTATTTGTGCAGCATGTCTATCGTCTCCATGGTGCCCCAAAATGCATAATATTGGATAGGGGTGTTCAATTCACCTCTAAATTCTGGAAAGCTTTTCTGGACCTGTTAGGTTCTGATCAGGGACTGTCATCTAGTCATCATCCTCAAATGAATGGGGGGACAGAACGAACGAATTCAGTTATAGAACAATACCTCCATTGTTTTATTAATTATCAAAAGGACAATTGGAGTGATTTGTTGCCATCTGCTGAAGTGGCTTATAACAATGCAGTGCATTCCAGTATGGGACTCACTCCTTTTCAAATGGCTAACGGCCAGAGTTTCATGCCTATACCTGAATTGCCTGCCAACGAGCCTGCTATTCCTTCTCTTAAGGACTGGGTTCATCAATTGCAGAACATCTAACCAGTTGTTAGAAAAGCTTTAGATGAAGCCAGAGAGGCTTATAAGGCGCAGGCTGATAAGAAATGAATGGAGCCTAAATCTTTTTCATATGGGGGACAAAGTTTACCTTACCTTTCCACTAGATTTTTACAGCCATTGAAGAAACTGGTACCAAATATATCAGCCCTTTTCCCATTAAACGCATCATTAATCCTGTTACAGTAGATCTGGAACTCCCTAAGAGTTTGAGACAAATCCACCCTGTTTTCCACTGCAGTTTGTTGAAACCTGAAATCACCTCTAAATTATGGCTGGCTGTTGCTCCTGACCCTCAACCCATTATGGTAGAGAGTGAGCAACACTTTGAAATTAAAGACCTTATAGATTAATGCAAACATCAGGATCCATGCAGTATTTAGTGGCCTGGAAAGACTTGCCTGCTTCACAAAATGAATGGATTTATAAAAAACTCCCTCAAGGTATGAGGAATGCAACCCGAAAACATCTGTCTTAAAACATCTTATCTTATCTGCCTTATTTCTGGACAACGGAGCCTAGGATTGAAACCAAGAGAGTCCTTGAAAGAGGTGCGACATCCCCTGGTTCTCATAACAGCTTGGCACCTGTGGATTGGCTGGATTTCAACCAGACAGTTGGGGGGAGTAGTTTTGAATTGCTATTTTGGCATACTCTTTCGCACGCTGAATCTTCAGACCTTGCTTTGCTCTCTTGCCATCACTAACTCTCAATAAAAAGTTCCTTTTGAAATGATGCCTGTTTCAAGAGTTCCACTTTCTTGGGAAGTCTAGTTACACACAGAGACACACACACCCTTGACATGCAGGTAATGCTTCATTCTACAGGGAACCAATTCTAACCCATCTACTATGTGTCTCAATTAAAATGTATCTCAATTGGGTAGCTTTACCTGGACATTGAAATGCAATTTCTTCAAACGCTTTATCAATGTGTCTTTATTGCATGGCACAAAAGCTTCAAGATGGGAATACACGCCATTACGGAAAGTAGGATTCAATTCTTGCAGCTGCATTTCAATACTGTTGAACAGAAAACAAATTCATACCTAATAAGGAACACATGAACAAAACTCTTGTCTTATAGCCTGTTCTCAGGCAAGTTCACATTCTATGAAAATATTCTGAGAATTGGTTGTTTTATTTGCTGCTCTTTTTAAAGGATTGTATAATTAATGTCAAACCATAAATATGGCTAAACAAGTGTAAGAATATTATATAATTATTATGAATAAAAAAATACAAAACCTAAATATGACTAGTATACTCTTCAACAAATAAACACAATTTTAATGATTTTTATGAGCTACTTTAGAAATCTACTCATTGCTCAACACATTTATTCTATTATACTAAATATTTTTCTGAAAAACAAAATGAGCACTTACTCAAGCAAGATATTATTCATGTCCTGTGTAAAGAATTTCTTTCTGCCTTCTTCATCAAAGAGCTTGGCAGCCTAGAGACAACAATAAAAATGCACTTCAGCTCAGAATTTTAGTAATTTAACTGCTAGCAAGTTGTACTCTATCATAGGATATTTTTACAATCTCAGAAAATCTCAGGATATTTTCACAATCTCAGTTTGTACCAAGTATTTATTGTAGAATATGACAAGTACTTTGTCTTTTTTCACTATTTATAATACTGGGAGATAACATTACTATATTTAAGCACTAAAATTGCTTAATTATTATTTGTAATAATAATTGGCTTCATTTAAATATATTGGCATAGGATACAAAATATTTGATATCTTTTGGCTTCTGGTTCCAGATCGTTGCACTAACGGACATGCGGTGCGATTGTTCCCTCCACCCCCCTCACTGGGGGACCCTGAAAGGGGTCAAAAGTCACCTTGGAGGGGCGATGAGCAGGGAAGAGGACCTCCGACAGATCGCGGAAGGGCAGCAGCCCTTCCATTTGATCTGGAGCAGCTCTTTGGACTGACGGAGAAAAGATCGGCCACCCACATGGCCCATCACTAAGCCACTACCCGCCGAAGCCAAAATTACAACTAAGCACTTGAAAGCACCGTGGAGGAACTAGGTGAGATCCTACCTTCTTTTTACCTCAAATATTTTTTCCTGCAAAAGCTCTCTGAAATTGCTTCCCCGTGAAGAGAGAGGGACGGGAACGTCTTTCTCCCACCCTCTAAAATGGTGGCGGCTGCCTACATTGAGAAGATAAAATCCTGAAAAATATATTTAAGTAATTGGACTTACATGTTTCTTAGATCTGGCGACCCAAAATGTTCCTACTTTCACAGGAACTGGCTATCTTAACTAGTTAAAAAAAAAATATACAAAAAGAACCTAAACTGGATAAAAGCCTAGCCTTTCTGAAAAAGATTTTAAAGGCCACTGGGGACATCTTGTGGTGAAGTCTGGTATAGCAAGTGAACATCCCTGGGAAAGCGACTTGTTTAAAACCTAGATCTGTCCTTGGCATTATCTAAAGATAAAAAGCTGCAACTGGGAGCTGAAACTGGCTCTTAAGAACTGTGGAGGTGAACACTCACTGACTTTTGCTTAAAAAACTAGCCTTCCCCAAAGGACTATCTATAAACATTTTAGAAATGGAGGGGACCAGCAACAAACATTCCTTGACTATGAACTTATACTTAAAAAAATCCTTGAGGCTATTGAGATAATTAAATCCAGACTGAAAGACAAAGGCGCTAGCTTTAACCCACAAACTGAAATCCAGATTCCAACTAAAGAACCTACAACTCAGAAAACAACAGAAGCTGTAGAAAACAATACTAAGACAGAGGAATTTAAGGAACAACAATATATTGAAAATTCTGGCAACCAAATCCTGATTGCAACCAAAGAACCTACAATTCCAAAAGTAACAGAACTGAAACAAAGTAATACTAAAACAGAGTATGCTAAAGTTCAACAAGGACAATACACTGAAAACTTAGATAACCCACCAATAATTATAAAATTGGACATGACCTTTTACCTAAACCAGAAGAAACCTGAGGTAAAAGAAGACCAGACCGAATTGAAGATAAAGACACTAGAACAAATACCGAGACTTCAACTACCAGAGCAACAACTTAATGATTATAAATGGACTAGCCCTTCTGAAAAAGTGATGACTGGACAGTCTCCCTTGATTCAACTAACATGTACCAGAATGAAAGGAGACCTACTTGATAACTCAAAGACATGGGTATGTAAACCTGATTGGCAGAAAAAGAAAGCTAGAGTTAGGTTTAAAAAATGGGGCCTCTGGACTTACTAAGAGAAATCCTAAAGTCTCAACTAATGGGCTAAAGGGAGACCTGGAGAGGAAGGGAAATATGACTATTAGATTTAAATGTTGTTGGATTAATTGGCCTAATAATTAGATTTTAGATTTATAATAAACATTAAGAATCAGCCTTAACCCAGAAAATATAGATGAAGGATGGATCTGAGACAATAAAGTTTACTCTATTAGTAAGCTGTGATTGTACTAGGATGAGAATTAGAAAATGTTTATGAAATAAAAATAGAATATATTTAAGTAAGTAATATGTGTATTTTAGACATTATAACATTTATGTAGTGAAATAAAGGAAATTTGGATTACCAGAAATTTGAATATTATGGATGTTAAAGGTTAAAATTGGAATACTGTAATTAGAAATCAAAAATTAGGTAAAACTTAAAAACAGGATATGGGTATGTATAAACAAAAGATAGATTGATAAACGATTTAACTGAATTGGCTATGGCTAGGAATTTACTAGTTTAACTATACTATATTAAATGTTAATGAAAAATAGAGAAGGAATTTTTGTCAATGTAACCTGAGATATGTACTAAAAATTTATTTATTTATTTTATTTATTTACAAATATTTATATGCCGCCCAATCCCAAAGGACTTAGGGATTGTAATATGCTGTCTCTCAAAGGAAATAAGAAGTATCAGAGCAGAAGTCCAATATTTGAACATTCATTTCAGTTTGTATGTACACTATATATCCTGAAGTTTACAAAGTATTGTGATTGCAAAGATTGCCTTAAATAACATGGATTTTAATAGTTCTTTAAAAAGTAAAGTAAAAAGATATACTTACAATTCTAAGGTCTTCAATACGCTTTTCTAGATGTCCTGGCAGACCTTCTGGGAGGGCAGGCACTTGTTTCAGTGTCAGGATCTCAGCAGTGTGGGGGGGCTGGGTGACACTTCCATTTTCTCCTAAAGGCTCAGATACCGGGCTTCCATTAGAGGTACTATCAAGCAACCTATCAAAATCAATGTCTCCCATCATCTCCAGGGCACTTTCAGCTTCCTGCAGGAGCTCACGTTCATTACTGCTGCCAAAAATAGAAAGGACTGGATCTGTAATGCTGAGATTCAAGTCGGACATATCATTACCAACAATGGCAGGAGCAACAGGAAGTTTACTGGGTGTAGAACAGGTAGCTGCTACTGTGGGATTCAGGTTAACCTCCTTTTTTTTAAAGGCTTCTTTCTCTTTCTGAAATTTTCGGATCATAGCAGCCAGTGAAAAAGAATCCTTGTATAATTTTTTCTTCTTCTTTTCAGATTTGTGTGAATTTAATGCTATTACCCTGCAAATAAAACAATATAAGTAACTGAATGGAATGTCCAATTTCGATTTCATATAATAAAAATATGAAAACTTTGTATTAGTTAATACTAGAACATTGCAAATTACATAAACTAAATCAATGAATAGTGAACAATGTAAAGTAGTGAAAGAAACACAATATAATCTCACTTTAAATTATTTCAGAACATTGTTGTAACTAACTTTCTTCAATCCAAAAACTCACGAGTCTAGAAAACTGCAAAATAATTTGTAAACATTTCTTTCCCATCTTATAATAAATTGATTCAAATAATAGTATCATACTTGCATATGCTTTGGAACACAAATCTAAGAAACTCTGATCAGTATTTTAAAAAACATGTCATGAAAAATATACTGACCCTCACTTGATCTGTTTATTCTATTGAATTAAATAACTCACAATGGAAATGCTATTGCAAATAATTCATCATTTTTACCATCATCAATTTAACAAAAAGTATTATGTCAGAAGAAAGTACTAACAAACTTACCCCAACTGCTTAGTAACTTTAATTTTCCGAGACTTTTTCTCCTTCTCTGCCTCTTCCTCTTTTCGCTTTCGTTTCTTCATGCTGCGGTCGTCACCATCTTTTAATTTACTTAACTAAAAATTCAGGGAGCAGGGAGGAAAAGACAGAGAGGAAGCATACAATAACTTAAATACAGATAGTCCTCAATTTACAATTCATTTAGTGACCGCTCAAAGTTACAACAGCATTGAAAAAAGTAACTTATGACCGTTTTTCACAGTTATGACCTTTAGAGATCTCCATGGTCATGTGGTTAAAATTCAGATGCTTGGCAACTGGTTCATATTTATGACCGTTGCTGTACCCCAAGATCATGCGATCATCTTTTGTGACCTTCTGACAAGCAAAGTCAATAGGGAAACCAGATACACTTAACAATCGGGTTATTAACATCAGTGATTCACTTAACAACTGAGGCAAGAAATGTCGTAAAATGGGGCAAAATTCACTTAATAAATATCTCACTTAACAACAGAAATTTTGGGCTTAATTGTGGTCATAAGTCGAGGACTACTTATAATTGAGTATTTTAATTCTGGTTAATACATTATTTAATTTTTAGGATTGTAAGGAGCTCGGAGTTGCGTTGACAATGAGATGTGTGGCAAATAAATTTACTGAATAAATAAAAGCAAAAACTTGATGTTAAAAAAAATAATAGCACCTACAACTGAAAAGCTATAATTTGGATTCCTGCACTGAGCAGAGGGTTGAATTTGAAACCCTAAAGTACACCCCTCGTGAGTCTACTCACTTTAGGTGGTTTATGCTTTTTGCTTCCTGTAAAATCCTCCTCTTCAGAATCAGATGCTTGGCGGAATTGCAGAATTCCAGTATTAATGTAGAAGCCTCCATATATAGTTGTCAAGGATGCAGGAACTAGTTCATCATACTACAAAGAATATAAAAGATTTAAAAATTAAATTACTAATATTTATTAATATAAAACAATGTAGTTGTTTTATTGCAATGCAACAAAAATCTAGTAGACTATTTGAATACATCAGAACTCTGATTAGTGTAAAGACACAAAGCATATATTCTGCAATATTTTTCTAATTCAGTGCTGTATCAACCCTCAAAATACAATAGTATCAAACTGTGTAAAGATTTACAACATAGAAAAATATGTGGTATATCTTTTTCATGTTTTTTATATTTTATAAATTAATCTAAACAGCATTTAGGAGGCTTTCAGTGATGACTAACTAATGCTAAAATTGGTACCTGAAAATATTGTTTCAAAAAAGAAATTTCATTTTTAAATGATATTCAAATCTAGCCCTAATACCTGCCATTTACTGATTAATACTAGGACTTGTGGGCAAATATAATCACATAACTAGCTTTGTAACATAATTTAAAATATAAGAAATTTTTTCCTTATTTTTGTCCTTTTTAGGTAAGTGTTGACATGTAGCAAGTGTGTGTGTGTGTGTGTGTGTGTGTGTGTACGTATCTGATATTGTAAAGATGAACATCTACTATGAAGTGTCCTATGCTAAAGAGAACATAATCTTGCCTGACTGTAGTATAAGACATCTGACTTTGGCTAATCAAATAAGTTATTTTATATTTTAAACATTTTTAAAGCTTCTTCCCCAACATATTTAAGAGTTATCTGAATTATAAATTATAAAATGTACTCCTGTTTTTTCATTGTTTAATACTAGATGAAGAATAAAAATCACATCAACTAAAAATTAAAACACAATTGCTGTTAGTCAATCAAGCATGCACTGAAATTAAAAGTATTTACAAAGCAAATGGAGCATTCTCTGATTGTTCTCCCAGACTATTCCATCATTCTATACCTAATGCTGGGTCCAAATGTAAATACTGCAATGCACGTATATCTTAAATTACACAGTTTTAAATAATCATCCAAAAATAATGAGTAGAGTAGAATAGAATAGTTGGAAGGGACCTTGGAGGTTTTCTGGTCCAACCCCTTGATCAGGCAGGAAACCTATAGCATTTCAGATGGAGTCCTATCTCTAAACTGGAAAAGGAAAGCCTAATGTCTGAGTGAAATCACCTCACAATATCAGATATACAGTGGTATCTTGGTACTCAATTGCTTTGAAACTCACTGAATTTGATACTCAAATGCATTTTAATACTAAAATTTTGTCCCCGGTACTCTTTTTTTTGGGGGGGGGTACTCAATCAACAAGCTAGACTTGTCAGTGTCAGCTGCCTTGTGACTTACTACATTATTCCTTATGGGAAAAATGTGTTTGGTACTTATTGCACCTCCCAGAACCAATTAATGATGACTACCTAAATACCACTGTACGTACATTTTATCTCTCAGAGGAAAATGCAACACGCTTGCAAGGTTTACTTACAGCTTCTGAATTATCGATGAAAGGGTCATTTACATCATAACCAGAGCCCATATCTATCAGATCTTGAGCTCGGTCCTTCCGATGTTTGTGGATCTTTCCACCCTATAAAATAAGATTGATACCTTAGAGAGAGAAAAAATTCCCGCAAAAAAAATATTAAGCAGATAAGCATTATAGGATAACAGGAAAATAAAGTTCAACAATCTTCCCTGCTTGGTTTCTCTGGCAAATAAGGATCTCACCAAGTGAAATAAATTAAGACTTGCATTTGACCAGAGAATCCAGCTCTATGTTCTTATAATGAATAAGACTAAATGCAGAAACTGAAATGTGCTTAGGCTATTTTAAGAAAAAGTCAGCAATTGGGTTTAGACATAACAGGGGGGATGAATAAAAGCAGAATGATTAGACAGCAAACACAGTGGATGTGTTATCATGACTAAAACATTTTTAAAGCTATATTTGTCATTTAAAGCATGTTAGAAGCAACTAAAAATTATCAGGATTCATGCCTATAATAGCAATAATTTCTACAGATTTGCTCACATATTTTGTTTCAAATTTCTTAGCCAGAATTTCCACTTCATGCCTTTCATGCTCTTCATTATCAAATGGGTCTTCAATGAGTGATTTTTTCTGATGAGAGAAAACAAGAAACTAATCACTTTTAATATTTAAATGTCTATGACTTCAACTTTAAATGGAAAAGCAAACAGAATCCTTAACAAGTTTAGTTTAATATTTAGTGCATCAGTACTAAACTAAACAGCTAAATTTAAAATAAACGCTTTTGGAATGAGTAAGACATGTTAATCAGTGATATACAATCTGTGACCCTAAAACTAAATATGGTGACCTAAATCTCAACTGTTAACGCCATCCTGCAATTTTAATATAAGAGACTGGGAAAATTATTCAACATATAGGGAATAATATTAACTGAATTTAATAAATGCACTTGATTTTAATCATAGTTCCATTTCTTGCCATTCAAAACTTATGATTCAGTTAAAAAAGGTTCACCACTGCTTTAAATTATCTATAAAAGGACTTGGCAAAATTTAATGCTTCTACCAACTTAACACAAAATATTTGAAAACCCCACATATATTAAATAAGCTATTATTGAATAACATATGTGAAGACTAAGCTACAACTTTACAAACTCTGAGAAAGAAGACATCAAGCCAAATGATTTTAAAGAGCAGTGTTTCTTAAAATGTCATCCATGGAAAACCAAAATTATTTGGCAAATATTTAAGATATTTACAAAAATTAAAAACAGTATTATTCTTTTCATTTTTTGTCAAAATATAGGGTTTTTCTTGAGATGTATTTTATTTAGATCAGGGGTTCTCAACCTTGGCAACTTTAAGACTTGTGGACTTCAACTCCCAGAATTTCTCAGCCAGCAAAGCTAGGAGTTGAAGTCCACAAGTTTTAAAGTTGCCAAGATTGAGAACCCCTGATTTAGATTAATATTTAATAGGTTTAATATTGTTACTTTTACATATCCAATAAATAAATACTCAATGACTGTGAATTTTAATTTTAATATAGAAAATATTGATAAATATAACCAATACAAACAAAAACCCCTTTGGGATTTTCTATAATTTTAAAAGTGGGAAGGAGTCCTGAAAATAAAGTTTAAGTTTCTGTCACAGAAAATAAAATTTGAGATCTGAAAATTATTAGTTTTTCTCCTATACTCTAACATTACCAGAATATAATTCAATTATTTAAATAGTTTAGTCCAGATTAACATTAATCTCAATTATAGAAATTAGAATTGTTTTCAAGAAATACAAGTAGTCCTAGATTTATAATCACAATTGGACTCAAAATATGTGTTGCTAAGTGAGAGATGTGTTAAGTGAGTTTTGCCCCATTTTATGACTTTTCTTGCAGCTGCTGTTAGTAACACAGCTGTTAAGTGAATCTCGCTTCCTCATTGACTTTGCTTGTCAGAAGGTCACAAAAGGTGGTCACATGACCCCGGACACTGCAACTGACATAAGTGAGTCAGTTGCCAAGCATATGAATTTTGATCACAGGATCATGGGGATGCTGCAACGGTCGTGTGAAAAATGGTCATGTCACTTTTTTCAGTGAAGCTGAAGTCACTAAATGAACTGTTGCAAATCAAGGTATAGGTAGCTATTTCCCATCATGACATAGTTCATTCATTACGTGGCTGATGACAGTAGAAAACTGTGATCACTACAATATATTACCTAAGTGATTCTGAAATAGGCATTCTTGCTTCCTACATGACATTTTAAATATTGCATCTATCCAGATTTATCCATGTGGCATCCAGTAGATTACCACAAATTGCTCTATCAAAATTTTATCCTCTCTTCTCATGCCTCCAAATGTCTGTTTCAATCACCTTAATTTAAAAGGGAACAGTAGCCACAGTTCTCTTCACTGTTTCCAATTTTACAGATGTAGTAATCATCATGCAGGATAGAAAGGAAGGTTAATCCTTCTCTAGTTCCCTTTCCTTTTTAAAGAAACAGAACTGCTGCTGGAAATTTTGTAGCTCAATTTTGTAGTTTATCATAAATAGTAGCAGCTGGATGAGTTAAAGCAGCAACAAAACATGGCTATGGATTAATACACCTTGATTACCATGTCAAATAAATCAAGACTCAATATAATTTAGTGTACAAAAATACAGTTAGTCTAGTCTAAAACATAATCAAGTTTCAGAGGTTATATCAAAGTACTATTGGAAGATTAGGCCATCAAGGATAACCATTCTGTTATTTCTACATTGGAACCGTATACCTCCAAATACCACATGCAGAACAAGGCAGGAGACACATACACTTCTATTTTTTACCTTTCACCATAGAAAGACCTGGTTTAGGAGAAACAAAATGCTAGATTGGGCCTTGTTGTCAGAAAGATGCTAAAGTGAGTTTTCCCAGTATTTTAGATATAGATACAAAGCAATTTGTTTTCACTTTTATTTAGAAAAATAGAAAACTGATGGCAAAGAAAGTCATGATCCATCAAGTCTGCCCTTTGAGTTTTTTTAATTACTTTTAAAAAATTTTGTTGGATGATGAACATATTTATCCCAAGCATGTTTAAACTCAGTTACTGATGATTGACCCACTATCTCCACAGGAAATTGGCTCCAACCTTTCATTACTTTCTGTGAAGTAATACTTTCTAATATCACTTATGAACTTGTCTCCTGCCTGTTTAAGATTATGCCCCCATGTTGAATTTTTTTAAATATTGAAAACACTGCTTTCTAGAACCTTATTTACAAATTTTATATATTTAAAGATTTCAATAATGCCCAAACTTTCCCTTCTGTCCTCCAGGCTGTACATATTCAGTTCCTCCAATCTCTCCTATTATGTTTTTTCCCTCTGAACTTGCACCATTTTTATTGCCTGTCTCTGTACTGGCTCAATCTTATCAACATTTTTTTTTAAGTGAGGTCTCCAGAACTGGACACAATACTCCAAATGGAATTTATCTATGTTAAGTATGCCAAATTATGATATTTTCTTTATCTTAGTTTAACATATTAAAATCTTTATTGAAACAAGCCAGATTAATTCACAGCTAAATTGTTTTAAACAGACTATAACCATACTTTGAAGAATGGATGTGCCCTTCTCACTCTCCAAGCACATAAGCTTAAATTCAATGGTTGTAGTCAATCATTAAACTGTTAAGAATGTTTAACAATTATCTATTGAATCAGAATCAATTTTGCGGATCAGTGAGTATGCATGACTAGATGTTGCTTACCATTTTTAATTACTTTCTCATCAAAAGAGAAAAAAATGAGTCCTATGGCCTATTTACATATTGTACTAAACTACAATGTCAGCCAATAATTCAACATTGATTTTAAATTAATTTACTGCTCTTTAAACCTTGGTTTACTATATGAATCCAGCCACATTTGACCAAAATAAATCATTAACCTATGACTTCTCTACTGTCTCACTCCATATTATTTTCTTTAATCTTACTTTATATTATTTCATGTTCATCTTTTATCTCTGTGAAAATTAATGGACTCTAAGAACAGCAAAATAGATTTGTGGACCACATGCAGCTCTGAGGATTCAGGTTGCTCAGCCATGCAATAAAAGATACCATAAATTATCCTATTTGAATTGAATCAAATAATTTAAAATAATTATTTTAACCTTAAAAAATAACTACCTTAATGTTACTAATATAAAATAATAGATATAATGCTTTTAAATATTTACATTCATGGTAATCAAAATGTTATTTTATGTCATAAATCATCAGTGAGAAAAAAAATACAGATTTGGAACTTCCACATGAATCAATTCCACAAGCATGAAACTAACTGAAGTCTTTTGCTGTACTAGTAATAGCAGCTTTAATAATAAAATGGAATTTGGATAGTGTCCACTGCTTTACAAAAGTTTTGTAGCCTCACCTTCCCAAATAGAATAGCATAAGAGCAGGATCCACTTGGATAAAATTATATTTATATACTTACTTATAAACCATTTTTGTATTCACCTAGGTTTTTCATCTGTTATGACTGTTCTCACCTATTATCCCAGGATTAAGAGCTATTTGTCTTAATCCTGGGATATTAGATATATGATTAGCAATCCTGCAAAATGTGATTTGAACAATTATGGGCATATTTGCATTTGATCCAGAAATTATCATTACTTGCATTTATTTTGATCCCTTTTAATACAAATCTCACAATACTCAGATATACCTTCAAGAAAAACATCCAAATTGCTATGAACTTATTGTTGGCCTGCAGTACTCCAAAAGTAATATATGTAGAAAAGATAAATTATAGCAGGAAAAAGAAAAAAAAATAGCAAAAGAAGACACTACATTTCATATTATAACAGCAGAAAAAGGATGACGGACAATTGGTAGAATTCTAAATACCAACCAACAACATACAAAGAGAAACAGATTATTTTTTAAAAAAATCACAGAAATAGTTATTTCCTAATGATAAATTGTAGGTAGTAGTGTTAATTTTGGTAATAGTACTGAACACTGTTGTGCAGTATAATAAAATGGCTACAATCAGATCTTATCAACACTTAAAAATAATTGTCAGTAATTCAATGACATCTTTTTGCAATGTTCTATTTTTAATCCCCAAATACCAGAATAATATATTACTTTTTTCACATAGTAAATTTCCCTATAGGTGAAAAAATAATTTAGAATATTTCAGTTAACTTTAGATTCTCAGAAATATAAAAGGGACTATGGGTTACATATAGTGATGGCCCATTTCTCCAAAAAAGCAAAAAACAAAACAAAAAAACCCCCAATCCTGCATGAGGCCTCAAATTACTATGAATCAGGCTGCATCAACATTTCTAAATGCATTATTGGTGCTAAATTCACCACAACGCTATCAAAAGTAAAAATTATCCACTATCAATAGGCTAAAAATATTTAAATAATGAAATTTGTATTTGTCTCCAAACAGAAAGAAAAAAATTACATCTTCTCTGAAATAGGACATCCTATAACTTTACTGCAGCCATCAATTTCAGTTGAAAGTGGACAACATAGCCTAGTGTGGTATGTATCCATCTCCCAACAGTCCTAATTTGTTCAAAGATAACGGCCAATGTTAAATGCAGTTTAACAATATTTAGAGGTACATCATCATCCCTAAATTTAGCACTCTAAATATCACCAATATATAGGATGCTAAAATTTCTCAGTATGGATTAAACAAAGCAGTAGTACAGGTTTACTACTGTGATAATCTGAGATTAAAGTAATTTAGATATCCACCTCTATTTTATATATATTAAAAGAGAACATAACAAAAATCTTTTATGAAGACTGAAGGGCTATCTAACAGCTTTATTAAAAAAATCATGCTTCTTTTAATACTAACACTTATCAGATTCTCTATCCCTCTTATTTCAAAGAATCATTTTATTGATCTTTAAAGTTCCTCAATCTCCTGAAATATTTTTAACATCACATTCAAAAGTTATACAACAGATTCAAGGTACCGAGATCTAAAGAAAAAAATATCTAATTGGCTTTAATAATTTAATAATTTACATAATAGTTACAACCAATCTCAATATGTTGATTTCTTAACCTGAATCCTCAGGTTTTCATCCTAATGGCTACTTACAAACCATTTTCACAAATTTACTCATAAACTATTTATGAAAAATATCAACAAGCAATTGTTTCCAGTATCCTGACTTTGTAAAAAAAAAAAGAAATACCCATTTTTGCTTGCCTTTACACCACTTCTATATAAATCTTCAAACCCCTACAATACATAAACTAAGTACAGGCATAAAAGTGCTTATAAGGTGTATTGAAAGAACACTGCAAATAAAAATCACAGGTATATGCTCATTCACAACAGAAAAACTAATTACTATAACAAAATCTTTCTGGCAGATATATTTATTTACTTGCTTTGGGCTCTTTTTGTATCAAAGGGTCTTCAAAGACCAGTAGAAAATCCAGCTCCTATAGGTTCACCATCTTTTGACTGAATCAGAGTAGCAATTTGGTCTTATATCCATCCTGATAGGGTTTTTTTTTTTAATGCTAAACCCCCTTACTTTTTCATTATTCCTCTCCCCCCTTCCTCCTTCAGCACTGAAGCTAAGGACTATGCTAAAAGAACCATATAGGACAAGACTGACAAAACAGGAGGCAGAAAGGGTAGATAAAGAGCGAGTGTTTGCAGGTCTAGTACCCGGGCCTTGCCACTCCATAGCAACTCGGGATAGCTGAATTCCACGCAGCTCTCCTCCGTGGGATCTTTCAAGATCAACTCAAAGCGAATCGTCTGATCCAGTGGTGGCGGCGGCGGTTCCTGTCGGTTGTTGTCTTGATTTAGATGCTGATGAGACGACAGCGGCGGTGCTTCTGGCCTTGGGGACTCTCGGTGGGGTGGCGGCTGCGGTGGCTTTGGTATCAGCTCAGGCCGACTGATCTCCCGCGGTAATGACACAGGGTGAGACTCTGGCCGAGGACAAGATTCGAAGGGTTGCGATGGCGGCTCTACCCGACTGTTATCATAGTGGTGGTGGTGGTGGTGGTGCTCCTGCTGATCTGGTAATTTCAGGCCCTCACGCGCTAATGGCTGCTCTGCCTCGCGGCCCCCTCCAGTCTCTCGCTCTAGCACCGGAGACTCACCTTCTCGTCGCCTCACGGGTGACAGACTAATGAACGGTACCCGACGCGGCTCCGCCATCATCGACCCCCCACCCCCCCTTCCCACCTGTTCGGTGACCCCCCCTTGCCACCCACAACCCCAGCCCCTCCTCCGCCTGTTCCCTCCCCCTTAACCTGGTCAGAGTACCTCCCCTCTTCCCTAGCCTCTCCTTGCCGATAACATCGCTGCCATCTTGGAGCCCCCCCACGTAAATAGAAGCAGGCTACTAGGGCACGCATGCGCAAAAGCATAACCCTCTACGGACGCGCTGCTACACGTCATTGTTGTTCTAGATTAGATTTACGTCACTGCGATCGCACGTTGAAGACGACATGACTCCGCTCACAGTTGCCTTGGAAATACGTACGCCGTACTAATTATAAGACTTCGCAGAGTTCTGAATGAGCACTTTTCTTTGCTGTTGGTGGCTCGGAGCCAACTATCTCAGGAACGCGGCGCTAATGCGGCAGCTACCAAGTGCATAGTCATTTCTTTTCATAGATTTTTTTTCTAGTTTACCGCAAGTGAAGATGGCCATAAAAACCATTTGATACCTGAAAAAGTTGTGAGCATTCTATTTTTGGTGTATGGTTTTCTTCCCGTTTAATATTAGTTTCATTTAATATGGCATGAACTAATTACAAAATACTCTTTATTATTGTTTCTAAGATGCAATTCAAAGAAACTGACCAATTTGATCTGGAAACAGTGCAAAAATTTTTAAATGCTAAGACAAAGCAGAAGTTATATCGAGCTCTTTTTTCCTTTTGGTATCTAATTTCAGAGGCAAAGTTGTAAGGCATAAGGCCTCTTGGTTTAATTATGTAAAATCTACCCAATTATACAAAATAATACATGTAATGGATTTATTTTTGCAATATATATGCTGCTTAATTCCAAAATGGCCTTCAGCAGTTTAGTACAAAAAAGAATTTTAAAAAATAATGAAACTCCAAACCTAGCCATTTGGCATATACAAAAAACAGCAACAACAAAAAATTATAAATGAATTTATTTTGGGATTTGCTCCAGAATTAAATTCAGGAGAGAATGAAAAAAATGTGTAATGAATATACAACATCAGTTTATATTATTTACATACAACATATACAAGTAGATAAATACATATTCTATGATGGATTTTCAATGTTCTTTTGTGTTTAGACATTTTTCCTTAAGTATTACATATATTCTTGAAACCAACACTTTACTTTTATCAATATACTAAAAAAAACACTTTTCATCATAGAATGACAAATTTATAGCCCTAATTTAATCAGAAAGAAAAATATAGAAACAGATGAAGATATGAACAGCAATCTTTGATAAAAATGAAAATGGATTGTTATTTATTTATTTACAATACTTCTCCTTATGTCCATTATATTATAACAATGAAAACTATTTAATCAGGTCATCATTTTCTTATTGTGTTCCATTTTAAGTGTTTAGCTTCGGATTCTTTATGTGGGTCTTTTAAAAACTAAAATCTGAAATCTAATTCTAGAGCTCTTTTTCTATTCTGCTTCAAAATAGGGCCTGGGAAAATCTGTATTTTGCAAGTTCTTGAACTGTCTCAAAAAAGTACTGATTGTCACACAATGAAAACATTTTGAAGATTAAAGCCAATATGTACAACAAAGTCAGTAATAGTAGCATAAAATAAAATTTAGGAGATGTATAAAAGTCAAAATGAGATTCTCTTCACAATATATGACATTTGCATACTCTTCATGAAAGACATTTAATTATATGTAAAAATAAATAGATTTGTATTTTTATAATCTTTGCTCTGCTACAAAATGACACAGTATTCCAGCCAGGCACAATATAGATGGCAGCCTTCCATTCATTGATCACACTGTTTAAATAGGAACTCTGTTCTCCTTGGCCCACTTCTTTATTATACGTACAATGTATTCTACCTGGGGGTTGCCTGTACTTCTCAGGAGATGCAGTACCTCCCTTAGAGTATCTCTGAAAGCAAAGAAATAAAGGTTTTTTTAAAAAGAGAAAGAATAGATCAGGCAATATTATCAACTTCTAAATATGCTATATCTGAAAAGTTTTGGAATATTTTCTTCAGTCCTATTGCTAGAAACTGACTTCTTCTCTGACTTCACATAATGGATAAAACAAAGTTTCGTATAGGAATGAGAGAAACTGATATATCAGATTTGATAGGAAATAGAAGCCCAAAATTCAGCCCCATAAATTAGTATGTATTCAATTGGAGTAAGTGGCTATCCACGATGCTGACTTGATTTCTCCCATCTTCACCCTGTATTGGTGCTTAAATGTAAAATTTCTTCCTTTTTGTTCTGCATTCTAAAATTTTTTAATTTTAGAATAAGATCAGAGGAGAAGAAATTTTATATTAAAAGCGTCAATATAAAATGAAGTTCTACCAAAAGAGCAGATATATTTGTTGTGATTAATAGTGCAATAATAAAGTGGAATTTAATGTAATTACTTTTTGGTTAGCATCCTGAGAACAACTCCACATCCAGCCATCTTGGAGCATGAAGTAGGAAAATGGAGGAACTATTGATTAAAAATTATATCAATTTGCATATTGGTTACAGACGTGATTGGGAAGTTAAAAAATAATAATCCCAAAGAAGGCAATAGCAATCTATTTCTAGTGTTGCAAAGGAAACAACACGGGTGTATGATTGCAGTCACTGAGACATAAGAGTGTCTAGATGAAAACTTTTATTGATAAAGTTTGGGGATGATCACCATACTTCACTATTTAAGGATGGTCCAGGATCCCTTTTATTTGTAGACACACATTTATTCGATATCCCAGCTTTTATAGGAACCCAAGGCAGCATACACAAGTACACTTATTATCAGTACTAGTAGTTATGAATATCTTTTAGTGGGTTCAGGTAATTTGTCCACTGAAATCTTATGACAATTATACAACTGTTCTTCAAAACAATGGAATATTTTGCCACAAAATATGTCTGGAAATATTAGTTTCCCTGAAAATTATTTGTTCTGGTGATCAGAGATACAGTTAAGGTTCAAAAAATATCAGGCAGTCTACAATGATTAACAGTGAGGGCAGCCTAGGTTTGGTTTAGCTTCAGTATACCATTTTTTAAAAACGTATGTCAATCTTGCTGATTATATACAGATGTTTCTATTTAAAATATTAAGAGTAGCCTGTAAATAAGGGAGGACATTTTCTATGGCTATTCCCAGAATTTCTGTGACATAAGAATGTTCTTTTACCTTCTCTGGTGCCTTTTATGCAACCACCTGTTTTTAATCAGAGATGTTTCTGTTGACTAGCTAATTTTAATTTTTCAAGCTTATTCATTTTTATTTTTATTTTCCCTGGCTGTATAACCTGTCTGTTATTTTCCCCCTATAAACTGGTCTTCTCCCTTGGGGCAACCCCCGCAATCCACAGGTGCCTCTCTGCCTGCTTGATCTCCCCTGGGGCATGCCTGGCAAGCATGGGGTGGCTGGTCTACCAACCTCTCCATCCCTCCATCCATCTCTGCAGTCTCTGCAGTCCTTACCTGCTCTGCCACCCACCAGAGTGCCGAACCTGCCTGGATCTCATCAATTGTGCTGCTGCAGAGGTGGGTGGACAGATGGAGAGCTTGGTGCACTGGCTGCCTCACACTTGCTGGGTGTGCCTGGGGGAGATCAGGTGGGCAGAGGGGCATCTCCAGGAATCTTAGATCTCGCATTCTTACAGATGATCCTGTCTTCTGCACAAAAATGAGCTTGTATAAGAATGAGAGATCTAAGTAAAACAGCTTTGCTGGAGTCTGAGAAAAAGATGGGCACTTTTCTGCCACATGGCCCAGCCTGTTCTGGAACTCTGAAGATCTTTGAAAGGAAAGTGAACAATCGGTGACAAGGTGGGGAGGAGCCTGTGGAACCCTGTTGGCTAGCAAAGCAGGCCCAGTTCCTGTGGAGACCTGGGGAGGCAGTATCGGGAGGAAACAGGCAGGAGGCATATTGCAGCATCTCTGTGGTTGGTCATAAGGGCGAATAATTACCACAGTGTTGCAACACACATAACTTTGGGATCAGATCATAAGTACTTTGGGGGGGGGTGTTGTAACTTTGAACCATCACTAAGCGAATTGCCATAACTCGAGGACTACCTGTACTTTAATAAAGATAAGGCTTCCATTCATAATGCACACTTTACCAGAATCAAAACTTAAGAGCCTTCTGTTCCTTAAGTTTCTAATTGGCATTTGAACTCAATAAGCATAACAAACCAACAATGCTGTAATGTTAAGCAGCCAGAGTATTATTCCAAAGTAGTAGAAAAAAAATCAGTGCATATACTTAGGCTCTCTGCCAGCGACAATCATCTGGAAGATACCAACACAGGCACCTCTTTTGCCTTCCCAATATTCAGGGTTAGGATCCAATCTTTCAAGCACATCAAAAGCTTTAGCAGAATAATAAAACTGGCCCATCTGTTCAGAAGATAAAGGTACATGCTTAAGGCAGCAACACTACATAAAACAAAGTTTAAATACCGTATATAACAACATAAAACGAGGAATGAATGTTGACATTGAATTTTTCCTGCTCATGATTTGAAAGCCGAATAACATTTTCTGACTTTATTTTCAAATTAAAGAAATAAATATTTTTCAATGTCATAAACACATTATTTATTGATAGAATATTTGTAGCTCAATGTTGAACTGTGGAAATCTTGGTGCTCTCTGAAGTTGGTTGTTTTCTTGCAGACATTTCATTACCAAACTAGCAAAAAACTAGCAGAGCGCATTCATGAACAACAAGCAGTCAGAAGACCTGATGAAAACTCCTTAATTTCACAACACATGGACAGTCTTAATCAGGGCTTTTTTTCTCATAGAACACCCAGAACGGAATTCCGGCACCTTTTTGGGATGGAACCTTGTAGGGTAGTCAAGGTGGTGTATGCCGTGTGTAAGTTCCGGCACCTTTTTTTTTTTTTTTTTAGAAAAAAAGCACTGGTCTTAATCATAGTTTTTCAACTTGGAAACTGTGAGCATCCTAGACCAAGTTAAGTCTAAAAACGCTAGAGAATTCCAGACAAATCTGCCATCAACAAGCCATAGACACAAACAACATCTACATACCATTCAAAAGAGACAATAAAAAAGCCGAAAAGAAAAGAAAAAGACCAAAAAGCCTCTTCACCAAGCAACACCCAGACGAACAGAGATTAACCTCAAGACTAACATTAGACCAACAATCAAGAAGTAAAGAATATATCAATCAAGGAACTGCCAAACAGGCTAACAATAAACAATAGCTCAAACAGATAACCACCACGACTACTCCCACCATCATTTACAGGGCAAGCCACTAGCATGTATAATGAGAGCAAACCCCATTCCCCACTAGCACTGATGATGTTACCTAGTTTGGTAATGAAATATCTGCAAAAAAACCAACTAAGCTCAGAGAGCACCAAGGATTTCAGGTTATTTATTTTTAGAGGGGGGAAGGGTTACCATGCTTACATCATGGCACAGAAATGGGCATGCCACTAACCATGATAGTTGTACAAATAATTTTAAAGACGGAAGATTTTCTTTGCAAACATTTTAAAATGTTATTTTTTCTCAGTTCAACTTTCAGTTACATTTTACCTTTCATCCTGAAACATTTAAAACTTTTAAATGTCTAGCAAAGTATTGAATAAAATGATTTCCAATGAACAGAAATGTGTTTTTAAAAAGTTATGGTCAAAATTATATTTATATTAAAACAGAAAAGCCAAAATTCAGGAATAGCTCAAATGATTGAATCCTTTGGCTCAATATGAAGCATTTTTTGTCTAAATGAACATTTAAAAATAAAGGAATTGAGCATTTATAAGAAAAAAGATAAACCTGTAATTTTGTGAAATATTTGCATCTACATCTTAGAAAAATACCATAAACATAAAGAAAAGTTAACATAATTTCCTTACTCAATGAAAGGCAGAAATCACTGATAATCTTTCTTAAGATGTCTCAATATGATCATAGGAAAAGTAATCAGCGTGGTTTATTTCTTGGGACAACTTCATGCATCATAAAAAACTCCAAACTAATAAACTGCTTTATAGTCTAGGCCTATATCATATAAATTCTGGTTGTAAGAAAATGGGATTTAATAACAAAAAAGTGTACAAGTCAATTTATTAAAAAAAATTACATGGTTTGAGAAGGTAAAAAAGTTACAATTCTACAGGGTTGATTTACTGTAGATAGTGAAGGAAAATGGATTAAAGACAACATACTTTGTAGCAGTCATTTGCAATTAGCTGCAGAAGACTAAAGGATTCTCCTGACGTTTCCATCTTTAGATAGAGTTCCCAGGCTAATCTTGGTTTCTTATTCATAATATCTGAAATCAACAGAAAATTAGAACTAGTAGAGGCATGTTGCTACACAGTGTTTAGAACCGGATAAGCATATCAATCAGCGATACTGTTCTTTACATTGGCTGTTCAGATAAGTTTAGAAGTAACATAGCCACACCAATTATGTCGACAGGAAAATTTAAAAAAAAAACAATTTTTAAAAAATATGTGCCAATATACAAGTTCTATATGAGAATGAACTCTAGATTGTAATGGGTACTTTCGGTTTGAGCACACAGCTGACTGAGCATTTGAACAGATCATACATATGAGTTTTTATATGAAAATACAGTCAGTTGCCTTCCTGATTTACCCTATCAATTTCTTCTTTCTGGTCTATTATACAATATATAATATCTATGTTGACATTAAATCTACTTCAGAATAAATATACATATTATGATTACTGGACGTTTCAGTTCTCTACTCCTAAATAAAAGGACGTGTAAACAGACACCAATGTTTAATGATAAAATACTTTAATTATATATGAGAAGCTCAGCAAAAAGCAGTTCTGTTACATCATATGCATGCAGTTTACAGTATCCTCTAAGGCAGTGGTTCTCAACCTTTTTAATGCCGCGACCCCCAACCGGTCGTAAGTCGAGGAATGGGACTTTTGGCGGGCTCAGCAGGGCAGAGACAGCCTGGACAATTCCTATTGGCTTTTGAAAACCAATAGAATTAGACTCTATTCAAGAGAGTCTATTCTATTGGCTTTCAAAAGCCAATAGAATAAAAGGGAGTAGCACAGCTAAGGAAAAGGGGGAAAAAAATGGCGGACTGCGTTGTTTGGCGACCCCTGTGAAATGGTCGTTAGACCCCAAATGGGGTCCCGACCCACAGGTTGAGAACCACTGCTCTAAGGTCCTGCTTATAGAACTTTTTTAGGTGAATAGAGCAAATGTAATAATATTCCATTTAGTTATTGGAAAACTTAATATGGTGCTGATACCTATTTACATAGGAAGTTTGTTATAAAGTGACCCTGTCTAGACATTACAGCTACTGATGCTAATTTACAAAAATAGTTCTAAAACCAATTAACATATGCAAGCTAACAACACTGCACTTTTACAACTTCTTACACAAATGCAGCATTTATTCTTATATGCTGATTGGCTAGAAAGAACACCACGTTTTTCTCACAGCTCCAACTTGCCAGCAACCTCATAATTATGAAATCAAGATGGTAAAAAGCTGGCAAAACACTGTTACTTCACTATCCCTATTGTGTGTGCCAAGTCGCCCAGCATTCCTATTTAAGATGACTCTTTTCCTGCTGATATATCCTGATCTTTGGGCAAGTTAGCAGAGATTTGAACGTACAAATCTGCCATTTATTTCAGTATTGATAGGTGATGAAGCCTTCGAACTGCTGTTCACAGATGTTTTTTAATGTATTTATTTGATTTCTATAGCCGCCCATCTCAACAAGTGAATTTATTGTTGTTAAAGCAGTGAGTCTTAAAGATCAGATAATTAAATATTTTAAAATTTAAAATGCAATAATGTTGTTTCAACAGTATTGATTTTCAAAGAGGAGAAAATTAAAAAAAGTTTACAGCTTCTTGATTTACTAATATTTTTATATGTCTATAGAGATTCAAAGTCATCCAGGTCATGGTTGTCCCAAAGGTGCTTTTTCAAGAGACAACTGGACTTTGTTTTTCCTTGAAGACATTTTGCTTCTCATCCAAGAAGCTTCTTCAGTTCTGACTGTTGGAACGTCTTCAAAAAAAAAAAAAAAAGTACGGTTGCCTTTTGTAAAAGCACTTTTGGGACAACATTTTCTATAGATTATCTCAAAGAACTGGCCTATTTCCAAGGCAGAAATTCCAAGTCCCTCTCTCAAAACCTTGCAAAATTGTTTCTTAAAAGACATTTGTAAGAAATAAAATTATTCTAGCTTAAAAATAATTAAATTTACATGAACTTAATACTTAATTTCAAATTAAAATTAATTTAAGGGAAGAGATTAGCAGGTCAATACATATTTTATAATAAAGTGGAGTGACTCACAGCAGCGTGCTAGCCAACTGAGGTAAACAAAATCATTCTTTATTTTCTCACTTTGAATCAGGAGGAACACCTGAGAAGAAACAAAGAAAATCAAGCTTCTGTTCACATTAAATATAGATCTGTAATACAGGCCCTCAATCAAATCAGGGTTTGTCATACTAAAGATTCAGCAGCTATAAAAGTTTAAGATAAGAAAATATAATTTTCCCTTAATTAAAAAATATTTCATCCAATAATTATTTATTGAATAATTTGCCTTATCAAAAGACCCCCCCCCCAGGATCTCCCTAGCAGAGATGTAATACAAAAGCAGAGATGTAAAAAAGGAAGCTTGCAATCCTGATACAACCCATCATTATGTATTTTATGGCTCTTTTGAATGGTAACAATTAGCATTTTAAAATGTCTGGAGACAAAACATGTCTAAGTTTGGGAATGATTCTAGATTGTTTTCATAAAACTCTAGTTTAATATACAGACTTATTTTAAAAAGAAACAATAACCAATCATTTAACCTTTAATTTTTTTTGCCAAACAATCATTCACACTGAATTTTTTTTTCAAGCTTCAAAGAGCATAACTTTTTCATTAGAAATAGTGAAGCTTTTCTCAAAATAGCATTTCTCTTGCCATTTTATGCAGAATATTCTAGAGTTTTATTCAGGTATACTTAAGGAATGGGAAGGACAAATAGACCAACTCTTATATTGTATGTTTTCATCTATCCATGCATCCATCTGTCCTTGAAAAAAGTATTCTTCTGCAGTTGTACAACTCATGCATGGAGTTAAATTTGAAGAGGAAAATAGCACAGTGGAATCCTTTTCTTTCAGCAGCAGACAATTTACTTCCATTTCTCAATATGTTACATGGGTAAAATATCAGACTCTGCTATTATACTGCAATAAATATTTATGTTGTCTGTAATTATCAGAGATTTTTAATTACAAATTATACAGTATTACCACTTAATCAATCTTCCACATTCTCTTTTTGTCTTATATATTTTTTTCTGGCTTCATACACTTTGGAAGTGTGATCCCGAGACAAGATTCAGTATAGCTCCCAGTATTAAAAAAAAAAAAATGTTGCTGTACAGTGTTGTTACCTTCTGAGTATTTATGCCTAGGATTATGCATATATTTTATACTCAAAAGGTTATTGCCTCTTATTCACAACAACCTCCAAATTCTTTTAGAAACATATAGAACATAAGCAGCAAATATTTTTAAACTTGCCTTTGGTCTTTTCAAGAAGTAGATACATACCTCCTCAGCCTCACTAGTATTGCCAGTAGCAGCTTTGGCTTGTGCGTAGTTAAAGTTAAAAGTGTCATCATTATAGAAATAACTCTGGAAAATAAAGCATGCATAACAAAGAAACAGTTTAATGGTTTATGACATTTAACAGCTAGTATCAATTTTCAGCTATCATTTGTAATTGACAATACCATAGTATTTGTACATACTATGGCACTACTAGAGCAGATACGATTGATATGTTAATAAGTTAGAAATTGAACTACCTTTGTCTTTCTCCCAAGCATGTAAACTCTTGCTATGATGTAATTTCCCCTTTGCTTTTCACCTTAAAAAATTATTGCTCAATTCCATATTTTTAGTTCAATGAATGCCAAGTGCCTCCATTTTTATCTAGTTATATCTTGAAAATCATACTGTTTATGTTTGATTCAAGCCCTAGACAATCCCTAAAAATATAATCCTGATGAATGTGAAATTGTTCTTTCATTTAATTCCCAAACAGTATAAAAATATGAATGCACAATTCTTAATTAATGTCTTATATAGAGGGAGAAACATTTACTTATATATCATCAGACTCCCAAAGAACTCCTAGCATAATAGTCTATTAAACTACCCATAATTATATTAATGTAAATGTCTCCTAATAATTACATATAATCATTAAAAGGTCTTCTAAACAGCTGAGTTTTCATCACCTTTCTCTATGCTGGGAGGCATGGTTCAATACAGATTTTCACATGGAACCTATTCCAGAAGGTAGGGCTTGCCACAGAAAAGGATTGACCTGGAGAGTAAGTTCTATTTGAAGCAATCTGTCCAGCAGGCCAAGTCAGAAAGGGTTTTATATCTCTTTTTGCACACTTAAATAACACTTCCTCATTCCGTTATACCAAATTTCTAAATTAGAAGCCATAGCAAACCAGTTCAACAAAACTTCTCACCCTGATAATACTGTAACATATTATATTTCTTTAGATTTTCCATGTATGAACAGATTACCGATATGTCCTCATATATTAAATAGCATAAATGCTTATTAAGAATTTCAGAAATTATAAAATATAATCACTGCTGTGTAAGTGAAAGTAGATCACATTATAATAACACTTTGTCCATATTTATGCCAAAGCCTAGGAAGAAAAGTACCATAGCTGGGTGGGAGGTAGAAAACATTATCTAGACATACTGGTTTGGAATACAGAAAATGGAAATGTGCCAACTGACATTAAATGTCAATAAGTATGGAATGTTTAAGTACATTAATTATATTATTAAATAATGAATCATCATATGTTCACTAACATGTCTTCACAAATGCTTCACCTTATGTGTATTGTTTTGATAATCTCTGTAGCCACATATTTTGTTAAGTGGTTTTTATATGCTTTCAACTTCTAATTTTATTTAGATGTCAAATTTTTCATCCCTTTCACAAGTACCCAAAATATTCTATACAGAAAATAGAAACTATCGACTAAATATAACTTAGGTGAGTCCTGAAAAAAGATACATATGATTATCTAAGCACACTACCACGTATAAAATATCTTCAGTAATAGAGAAGATCCGTTTCCCATTATACTGTATAGTGAATCTATGGCTTATTTATAATAAACTCTTCACTGTTAATTGTATCCATATTCTATTAATTGAGTTATAAAGTGCCTAGTAGTAGTCTCTGAAGCAGAAGACAGCTCCTAAAGTACCTTAGAACATCCCACAGAATTGTAATTTTTAATGCAACAGATAGAAAAAAATATAAATGCTTGGAAAGTAATCATAATTATTTTCAATTAATCTACGTTTAGTTTTTATCTTGTCTTGCAATTTCCTGGAGTACAGTTATTAACATTCTACTCAAAGCACAGTCCTACCTTTCAGTCACATTCTCAAAATTGTCAATTTTTCTTCTTCTTCATCATGATGATGATGATGATCATCTCATTCATTTATTCATTTATGTCTCTTGAAAATACCCATATAAAGATATGTAAATCTGTCTTTTTCTCTTAAGATTCTTAATTTCTATTTCTAAATTAATTAAAAGCATTAAATACTGAACAGCTAAATTTTCGAATTGATACAGGCAGTCCTCAAGTTACGAATGGAATGGAGCCTGCCCATTCCATTTGTAACTTGAGAATTTGTGGGACTGAATCTCATACCTTGAACGAGATCACTCCCTGCTTTTGCTCACGCATTTGCTAATCGAATTTGTGGGTGAATGTGCGGTCTGGTTTTTTTTTTTATTTAAAAGTTTTATTTTCCATTTATCAATTACATAAATATAAAAATTCACATTTAACAAAATAAAATAAATTCATACACATAACCATAGGTGTTGCTTGCCCACCTCCTCCCCAAACTGCATCCACCCTAACACTCTCCCTTACTTCCCTCCTCTTTCTCACCTCCCCTCCCCTCACCTCTCTCTCCCCTCCCCCTCTCCTCTTACCATCCTACTTCCTCCCTACCCTTCCTCTTCCACTCTTTCCTCTTCAGATACAGTACCGGGAAAATGCCCAAGCAACACCTCTCTCATAAATTACCCTATCTATATCTTACTTTAATTCTATTATCTAACCTACTTACCCACCCAACCCCAACCCCCCCATCCCCCCTCACTTCCCAGAGCAGAATACAGGGTTATTAATAACAAAATCAACATAACTTTAAAAATATTATATAATAAACAAATTCATACTTAACCCTTAACTCCCCTTAAACTTTAACATCATGATAGTATAAACAAATCTCTTATAAAACATTTGTTATAAAATTTTAATCATAAAATAAATGGAACTTTTGAGTTCCATATTTATTCTGAATACAATTTATCCATCTTCTCCATACCATAATATATCTTTCTTGTGTATGATCCTTTAAATAAGCAGAAATTTTAGGCATTTCTGCTAAATTAGAAACCTACTAATAACCTTGCTTCAGTTAATAAATTCAACATTAAAATAGTTTCTTTAACATCTAAATCCGTAAAAATACCCAATAAAAATAATTGAGGAGTAAACTTTATCTTCCTTTTAAAAATCTTTTGGATATTCCACCAAATCATAATCCAAAAAGCCTTAACCTTTTTACAATTCCACCAAACATGAAAATAAGTTGCATCAGTATTACCACACCTCCAACATTTGGATTGTAAGTTAGAATACATACAAGATAATTTTTTAGGATCTAAATGCCACCTATAAAACATTTTATAAAAATTTTCCCTCAAATTTTGGGCTTGTGTAAATTTAACATTTCTAATCCAAATTATCTCCCATAAATCCAATGGGATCGGTTCCTGAATATTCTGAGCCCATTTAATCATACAATCTTTGACCAATTCTGTTTCCGAATCTAATTCTATTAACACATTATAAATTCTTTTTATATGAGCCTGATTCTGATCTTTAATCTGAGTTATCAAATTTTCATCTTCTAATGTTATTCCCTCTTTCTTATCTACAGTCCACCTATCCACTATTTATAAATATTGAAACCATGACTGTAAGATATTTCTTGCCTTAATATATCTAAAGATTTTAAATGCCAATCGGTACCAATCCAAGTTAATAGTTCTTTATACGAAATTTTGACAAAATTCATCCCCTTAGAAATCCCCTCAATCGCATGTCCAGGAATCCTCCAAATAGGTATTTTATAATTTAATCTATAATAATACTTCTTCCAAACTTGAATAAGGCATTTCTTAAAATATGTGATTTAAAAGCCCAATCAACTTTCTTATTAAAAATTAAATATGCATGCCAACCATACATTAAATCCCACCCTTCAAGAGAAAGAATATCTTTGTTAAATTAAGCCAATCACTTAAAAAAGTTAAGGCGGCTGCATCATAATATAATTTCAAGTTAGGTGCTTTAAGCCCACCTCTTTCTCGGTCATCTTGCAATATTTTAAACTTTACCCTTGGCTTCTTCCCAGCCCAAATAAATTTATTGATACCCTTCTGCCATTCATCCAAATTTTGCATCTTTCTTTAAAATAGGTATCATCTGAAACAAAAAAAGAAACTTTGGTAGAACATTCATTTTCACAGCTGAAATTCTCCCCAATAACGACAACTGCAACTTTTTCCAATCGTTTAAATCCTTTTGTACTTTTGCCCATAATAATTCATAATTATTCTTATATAATTTTCCATTAGAAGCTGTTATATATACTCCCAAATATTTTAACCTTTTTCACCATCTGAAAGCCTGTAAGTTTAACTAAGGTTTCATTCTCCTTAACAGACATATTCTTAGATAATATTTTAGTCTTATTATTATTTACTTTAAAACCAGAAACTTTCCCATACTGAGTTATAAGTTCCAATAAATGAGCAGCCGCATGGGTCGGTTGTACTAAAGTTAAAACCAAATCATCCGCAAAAGCTCGCAATTTATACTCATTCCTATTTAATTTTATTCCCTTAAGTACCGTTGACTCTCGAATCTGGATTAACAAAATCTCCATTGTTAAAACAAATAACAATGGAGATAATGACATCCTTGTCTTGTTCCTTTTTCAATATTAAAAGTCTCTGTCAGTCCCCCATTAATAATAATTTGAGCAGATTGTTGCTGATATATGGCCTTAAGAGCATATAAAAACTTATCACCAAAATGCATTTTCTCTATCAATAAAAATAAAAGTTGCCAGTCTAATTGATCAAAAGCTTTCTCTGCATCCAAAAATATAAAGGCCACAGGAATCTGATTATTCTTATCCAAATACTCAATTAAATTAAGAATTTGTCTTACATTATATTTCATGTACCTTCCTGTTATAAATCCTGATTGATCACTGTGAATCAAATCCTTCATAACCTGCATTAATCTATTTGCCAAAATTTTTGAAAAAATCTTATAATCCACATTTAACAAAGATATATGTCTGTAATTCTTAGGCTCAGTAAGATCTTCATCCTCCTTCGGGATTAATGAGATAAACGCCCTTCTCCATGAAGGGGCCACCTGAGCAACCAACAAAATACTGTTAAATAACTCCTTTAATGGCTCCGTTATCTCCTCCGATAGAGTTTTATAATACATTGATGACAATCCGTCTGTTCCTGGAGA